TACGGCGATAGTGGGGGAAAAAATCAGCTAGGCAATAAGAGACCCAACTAAAGAAGAATAGCCTTTAAGAATTATCGAAAAGGGGTCTTCCAAAGATTGACAGTGTGAGCAGAGTTAAATCATTAAGATTGTGTATGATAATTGTGAAAACATTAGCTTTCCATTTATGTAGGTAATACAGTTTTTCCTAGTAAGAAGGATTTCTCATAAGTAAGTTGGAAGATGAGTCGTCATTGACGTAAAGTGCAAAGAATTGTAGAAAATAAGGAAAGTTATTTGGATCCCAACAAAAAGAGAAGGATCCACAAGTATAAGACCTTTGGTCTAAGGGGTGATGTGGAAATTTTCAGTAAGTCTAGTTAGAGATTTGAAACCCGAATAGTTAGCATGGGATATGAAAAAGAAAATCAGTACAGTAATGAGGGAAAATTGTATAATTACCACAGGGATTATGTCTAGCGTGTGTAAGAAACACAAAGTGAGTAGAATGATCACCGAGCTTAGTTACTGATGATAAAGTGATCACAGAAAAGCTATAAAATGATGCCTATTTATGTGTTATGAGGGTAGTGCCATTGGACGGGACTCTAAAATTTAGAGTACATGTCAAAGACTTAGTTCACAATAATACTATAAGTGTTTTCAGGAAGTGCTTAAGAAGATAAGTGTGGGAAGTATAACTCCTGATTGAGGTAGATAAGAGAACTTTGGTGAAAGAAGTTCACCAGCCAAGATAGGAGTTCGACTTCGGACTCCGAAGATGACGGAGTTGTTGTCTAGAACAGGACTTGTTCCCCCTTAGTAGCCGAAGAGAAGGAGAAACAATTTGATGATCCCTACGTGTTGTAGTTGAAAGAGGAAATTCACAAGTATAAGACGATGGCTTTTGAATAAGGGGGAGATGATGGTACTTTGAGGTACCAAGACAGATTGTGTGTTCCAGACATAGATGGACTTAAAGAGGGAAGATCATGTTAAGAGCCCACAATTCCTGGTATTCTTTCCATCCAGGTTCCCCAAATATGCATTATGACCAAGGAGATTTATTGGTTGAACGACATGAAAAAGAACATCGCAGACTTTGTGGCCAATTGTTCGAATTGTCAGCAATTGAAAGTCGAGCAGCAGAAAGCCCATTCTTTTACCATAGTTTACACATACTTTTGAGTGGAGATGGTAAAAATTGTATTTATAACAGGATCATCTTGCTCATTTGATTGGGTGATTGTAAATCGACTTACCAAGGCAGCACATTTCTTGCCAGTAAAGACTACAAATTCAGCAGAAGATTATACCAAGTTATACATTCAGGAAATTTTCTGATTGCATGGGACTCCATGGCACAGTGTGAGCAGAGTTAAATCATTAAGATTGTGTATGATAGTTGTGAAAACATTAGCTTTCCATTTATGTAGGTAATACAGTTTTTCCTAGTAAGAAGGATTTCTCATAAGTAAGTTGAAAGATGAGTCGTCATTGACGTAAAGTGCAAAGAATTATAAAAAATAAGGAAAGTTATTTGGATCCCAAAAAAAAGAGAAGGATCCACAAGTATAAGACCTTTGGTCTAAGGGGTGATGTGGAAATTTTCAGTAAGTCCAGTTAGAGAGTTGAAACCCGAATAGTTAGCATGGGATATAAAAAAGAAAATCAGTTCGGTAATGAGGGAAAATTATATAATTACCACAGGGATTATGTCAAGCATGTGTAAGAAACACAAAGTGAGTAGAATGATCACGGAGCTTAGTTACTGATGATAAAGTGATCACAGAAAAGCTATAAAATGATGCCTATTTATGTGTTATGAGGGTAGTGCCATTGGATGGGACTCTAAAACTTAGAGTACATGTCAAAGACTTAGTTCACAATAATACTATAAGTGTTTCCAAGAAGTGCTTAAGAAGATAAAGTGTGGGAAGTATAACTCATGATTGAGGTAGATAAGAGAACATTGGTGAAAGAAGTTACCAGCCAAGATAGGAGTTCGACTTCGGACTCCGAAGATGACGGAGTTGTTGTCTAGAACAGGACTTGTTCCACCTTAGTAGCCGAAGAGAAGGAGAAACAATTTGATGATCCCTACGTGTTGTAGTTGAAAGAGGAGATTCACAAGTATAAGACGATGGCTTTTGAATAAGGGGGAGATGATGGTACTTTGAGGTACCAAGACAGATTGTGTGTTCCAGACATAGATGGACTTAAAGAGGGAAGATCATGTTAGAAGCCCATAATTCCAGGTATTCTTTCCATCCAGGTTCCCAAATATGCATTATGACCAAGGAGATTTATTGGTTGAATGACATGAAAAAGAACGTCGTAGACTTTGTGGCCAATTGTCCGAATTGTCAGCAAGTGAAAGTCGAGCAGCAGAAAGCCCATTCTTTTACCATAGTTTACACATACTTTTGAGTGGATATGGTAAAAATTGTATTTATAACAGGATTATCTTGCTCATCTTGAAAGCATCATTTGATTGGGTGATTGTAAATCGACTTACCAAGGCAGCACATTTCTTGCTAGTAAAGACTACAGATTTAGCAGAAGATTATACCAAGTTATACATTCAGGAAATCGTCTGATTGCATGGGACTCCATGGTCCGTCATTTCGGACTGTGGTGCTAAGTTTACAATGAACTTTCAGAAGTCATTTCAGAAAGGATTAGGCACAAGTTTTCCATCCTCAGAAAGATGGACAGGCAGAGCGCATTATTCAAACATTTGAGGATATCCTTGACTTTTAAAGGCAATTGGGATGATCATATACCTCTCATTGAGGTTTCTCATAATAACACCTACCATTCTAGTATCAAGATGGCACCAGACGAGACTCTGTATGGGCGAAGATGCAGATCGCCAATTGGTTGGTCCAAAGTTGGTGAGGAGGAGTTATTGGGACCAAATTTGGTCTATCAGACAATAGAGAAAGTTAAGTTGATTCAAGAGCGTTTGAAAACGACTCAGAGCCGCCAAAAGTCCTATTCGAGCGTGCGTCATAGAGACCTAGAGTTTCAAGTTGATGATTTGGTGCTTCTGAAAGTTTCGATTATGAAAGGCATTATGAGATTTGGGAAGAAGGGGAAGCATAGTCCCTGCTATATTGGGCCATATAGATTCTTGCAAAGGATCGGTCAGTTAGTTTATGAGTTGGAGTTGCCACCAGAATTAGTGGTGGTACATCCAGTATTTCACTTGTCATGTTATAACATTCAAGTTTCCAGTACTCAGATACTCATGTCGGTTCAGTACTCAGATACTCATGCCAGTTCGGTACTCAGATATTCATGTCAGCTTAGTACTCAAATATCGATATAAGTTTAGTACTCAGATATTGATGTTAGTTCAATACTCAATTATTTGTGCTAGTTTAATATTCATATATCCATGTTAGTTCAGTATTCACGTATCAATGGCAGACCAATATTCAGTTAATGTAGTAGTCATTCAGTTCAGTATCTCAACAGTTCAGTAATCATGTATTCATTTAGTTTAGTATGCAAGTGTTAATGAAAGTTCATGTTTCCACCAGACCCGTTTAAGGTTCGGGGTTAGCAGAAATTACAGTCAGGACAATCATGCGAGGACGAATGATCCCAAGGGGGAGATAATGTAACACCTCGTACATTCGGACTAGGTGTGGATATGTTAAATGGGTATTAATCTGATATTTTAGACATATGAAGTCATAGCGGGATGAGTATGGGTGAAAATAATATTTTAGAATCAAGACGAAGAGTGAGGTGTACAAGATTCGATAAAATCTAATAAGTTTACAAAAGGTTCATCTTCTAGCAGCAGTTAGTGAAAATGTGTAAAGGAATTTGGGAAAACTTAAAAGATAAAAGTTGTAGGCCTTTGAAATAGCTTTCCAACAATATATTATGGAGTCCGAACGGATCGATGTGCAAAAAGTTATGCGCGTTTTACAGAACAATGCGTAGCTTATGCACATATATATTGGGCCCGAGGCCGTAGCTTATTCAGATAAACATGTTGTTCATCATTCAGAAGAGGGAGTATTCATATCCGTACTTCCTTTGTTCAATTCAATTATCAGTTTTCATTTCAGTTACCAGTTATCAGTTCAATAATCAGTTATCAGTTCAGTTATCAGTTATCATTTCAGTTTCATTTTCAATAGTTGTCATTTCTGTTATCAATTATCAATTCTGAGTTATCAGCTTAGTTTCAGTTTTAGCATTTATAATTCTTTCTTTCAGTTGCTTTACATACCTGTGCAATTCAAATGTACTGATGTCCTTTTTGCCCGGGGCCTGCATCTCACGATGCAGGTAATGATTTACAGGTTGATGATTCAGAGCGCTAGGATTCTCGTACCAGCTATTTGGTGATCCCCAGTTCTTTCGGGGCATTATCATTACTATACAGTCTTTCAGTAATTACAGACATCAAGTGTTTTCAGTACTTCATTAGAGGCTTCATAGACTAGAGTAACAGTTAAACAGAGTCTCAGGCTTTTCATGTTATGCTATGTTGGTTGCAAATATGTTTCAGAATTGTATTAGTATTTCCGCACTTTGATTTATATCATCCAGACTTTCAATATATCAGCATGTGTTAGTTTATCTTCTGCATTCAGTATGTTATGATATCACATGTTGATTCAGTCAGCCAGTTGGTTTGCTCGGTCAAATATAGTCAGGCACCGAGTGCCGTCTTACGTCCAGGCCCAGATTCGGGGCGTGACAGAGTCGTTACACACATATAGCCATTAGATGCTAATGAAGTCCACATATCTGATGTCAAACACACTCTATTAGGAATAATGGCAGGCTCATTTTTTAAAAGTTCTTTTTCGCTTGCATACATAAATCAAGATATCTGACTTGGCCGTGTCTCTTGATATGTGCTTCGCTACTGGATTTAAATATGTATGAAGGTCCCTAATGCCTTTATGTTCTACCAAATTGAAAGCATAGTTATGCTTGACTATGGATAACGATATTTTCTCTCGATAAACGTTCTGATCTATCGGTTCACTTTGACCCTCTTTAGCATTATTCAACGGATGTTTTATCAACAAATGGCGCTTCAAATTTGATGTTCTAAATTTAGGATCGTATATGAAGTCTTTTTTACAAAGAGTACATTGGACTTTAAACTTTCCATCACTAGAAATACTAGGCTCTGTTACCTTAACAGAAGAATCCCAAACAGTGGAAAATTGTCTTTTTTATCGTTTTATCGTAGTTGAAGAGCTCTGTACACAAGAATCAGCAATACCTTCCATCGATATCTCTATCAAAAGATGAAGTGAACAGTAGGAATTAGGCTCGACATAAATCAATTCATTGATAAGTGATAGAGAATGCAGTACTCTGGAGTTAAAATTTATATCTAATCTTGGTCTACTTAATGTTTTTCTCACCTTTGAGATTGTTGTAACACTTCCACTCTTGTTTTAAGCTTCAAATACTCTTGGTAGGTGTTCTGTTTTCACAAAACCATAGCAAGCAAATCAATTTGCTCAAAGTTAGTCATCAACATTAACTTTACACTATTTTCAGGTGAAAATTGAATAATTTCCTAAATTTTCAACAAACTTTAGTTTGAGCAATTATAATGCTCAAGGAAGAAGAACGAACCTGTGAATCTATTGAAAGTTGGCTTCCTTCAAATGCAGCATATTTGTATTAAGACTCCAAGTTCCGACAGTTCCTTCTATTAAACGAACCTGTAACACTTTCACTCTTGTTTTAAGCTTCCACTCTTGGTTTGCCCACTAGGATTTCAAAACGCTTCCAAGTTCCGACTAACCAAAATCTTGTGAAAGGAAATTGAAGCCTAGAAAGCGAAGAAGTCAGAGAGAGAGAATTATCGGAAGTTGGAACTCACCGGAGAAGTCGCCGGCGATGCTTTGGGAAGAAGGGGAGATATTTGAGGAATTGGAAATTTAGGGCTTTTCTCTTGAAGTGGTGAAAATAGCCGACAATAGCTTTAACATTGTATTATCCATATTTTATCATGGGTTACCCATTTGGTTACCCATTTTTCTAGAGGATAATATGGATAATTATTCATATTCAACCATATTTTAAAAAGTAAGTTATCCAATCCATTTTTAGTGGGTTGGGTTGGGTGGATAATTATTAATTTTAATCATTTTGCCAGGTCTACTCACCACAATCTAAATCGTGAAAATCCCTTCCAAAATCGCCAAAATCTAGCTCCCAATCTCAAAATGTGATAAAATGAGTAAAAGTTCCAAAAAATAACAACTAATAATCTCTCCCCAGTTATACCCTTCGCGAACGTGGCACGTGCCTCACGTTCGTGAAGCACAAAATTACTGCCAGACAAAATACCCTGCGCGAATGCGACAGGAGTATCGCGAACGCGAATGCATAGGCTCCCTCTCTTTTGCGAATGTGCCCAGAGCCTCGCGAAAGCAAAGGCCTGCTACCCAGCTCCACTACCTTCTTCATGAACGCGGATGCCTTCTGCAAACATGAAGAGCAAATCTCCAGCTGCCTATATACTTCATCGCGAACACGAAGGACATCAGACACCAGCAAAATCGGATCTCCAAAACTCATGGAAATTGTCTGAAACAACCCCGAACCACGCCGAGGCCTCCAGGACCCCATCGAGTCATACGATCCAATCCCAAACTATAATACCGACCTAATCGAGACCCCAAATCACATAAAATAACATTAAAACCATGAATCGCACATCAATTCAAACTTAATGATTAAATCCAAATTTCTGAATCCCAAACTTACGCCGAACATGCCTAAACAACTCGGAATGATCCCAAATTTTACACACAAGTCATAAATTACCATACGAACTTGTTCCAAAGCTTGAAATCCCAATTGGACAACGATAACTACAAAGTCAACTATGGGCCAAATCTATGAACTTCTATACTTTCAAATTGCCAACTTTCGCCAATTAGAGCAAATCAACCTATGAATCTTCAAAACCAAATCCGGACATACGCCTAAGTCCAAAATTACCATTCAGACCAAATGGAACTGTCAAAACTCATCCGAGGTCAAATACACAAAAGTTAAACTTGGTCAACACTTGCAACTTAAGCTTCCAAACTAGGAACTAAGTGTTCCAATTCAATCCAAAACCTCTGCAAAACCAAACCAACTATCCCCGCAAGTCACACAATAACAAATACACCTATAGGAAGCATAAAATAAAGGAACGGGGCTCAAATACATAATACGACCGGCCGGGTCCTTATAGTAACATTACCCTCAAACTTGAATGGAAGTGTTAGAATAACTGATTGTGTGTAGACCATAGCTAGATGTAGCTCAACTATAGTTAGCTAGTTGGCACAAGATGTTAGAGTTAACTAGTTAGTGGAGTTAGTTAATTAAGTGGAGATTAGCTTATATATATATATATATATATATATATATATAGTTTAGAAGATTGACAAAGGAACTCAGGAATGAACCAGGTCCATCACAGGTATACATAGACAAGGGCAGATTCAAACACATGAGATGCATGTGTAGGAGATAAACGTAGTATGGCAGAATAAATATCTCCTGATCGAAATGGTTGCATAAATGATAAGGAGAAGGACTCCTTACTCAAAGAGAACATTACCCAAGATAAGGAAGGATTTAGGAGTTGAGAATAACTAGAACTCTTCCACCAAGGAAGAGTAGCATTAGAACTCTAGTTAATTCTTTATCTACTAGCTCTATATATTGCAGGATGTTCTCATTGTACACGTACACACAAAAGCAGAAGTTAAACGTGAATTGAGAGAAAAATAGCAAGGCATTTTGCAAGCAATTCGTGTGAGATTCAAGTGTGCAAACTTAAAGCTACTTGAACCAGATAAAGGAACCAGTTCCAAGTGTTTGTCTTTTATTCTAGTTCAATTGTAGTACTGGTTTTATATTATACCTTTCAGCTTTATCTAGAAGCATTGTAATAGGTACTCAGTGTATTCAAGTTAGAGTTAACTTGAAGTTATCGCAACAGTTAGAGGCTATTTGCTACAAGGGATTAGAGTTAGTCCTAGGTTTAGTGGCGTACGCAGGATTTTACATAAGCGGTGTCACTATTTTTAGTAAGAGGCCCATAACAGTCAAAAAATATTTTATGGAGCCAAGGGAGTTCGAACCCAAGACCTCTCACATCAAACTTGAAGTTGTCAACCACTAGACTACTGAGCTGTTTTGTTGCAAGTGGTGTCACTTTTAATGCTTTTATCTTGTATTTCTATTTTACTTATTATTTTTATATATATAAATAGTAAAAAATTTCGACGAAGCGGTGTCCCGTGACACCGCTTGGGTCCATGTAAATCCGCCCCTGCCTAGGTTTACAGAAGAGTTTTTGGAAATGCAGTTTTTGGCTCAGTGATTTAGTAAAGAGTTTGGGAAAATCCTACTGGGAAGTAGGTTGTGGTTTTTCACCTTCTAAGTCAGGTGTTTTCCACGTAAAAATCCTTGTGTTCTTTATTTTTTGTGCTTCTTATTCTGCAACAGTAGTATTAGGAACACATAGAAGAACCAGGTCTTTCTATTATCTGTGCACATGAAAAATTGGACACCACACAAATCACCCCCCCCCCCCTCTTGTGTGGTATTGAAGTATAAAAAATTAATTGGTATCAGAGTAGGTTATCCTTCAAGAGTCTAACACCTTAGGAGAATATCAAGATGAGTGCACCACCTGGAAATTGGGAAGGACAATCAACTGCTAGGCCACCACTCTTCAATGGCCAGTACTACTCCTCGTGGAAGAACAGAATGAGAGACCACATCATTGGAGAAGATTACGAGCTTTGGGACATTGTCACTGATGGTCCCCTAGCTACCATGAAGAAGAATGTTGAAAGAGTAGATGTGCCAAAAACAAGAGCTGATTGCACTACTGAGGACTTGAGAAAATGGGAGAAGAATGCCAAGGCCAAGAAATGGCTTGTGTGGGGACTTGGTCTAGACGAGTACAGCAGAATCCAAAGTTGTACTACTGCTAAGGAAATTTGGGACACCTTGCAAGTGGCTCATGAAGGAACACCTCAAGTGAAGAGGTCCGGAAGAACTCTACTGTATTCTCAATATGAGAATTTTACCATGAAGGAAGGAGAAACCATCCAGGAGATGTATACAAGATTCACCACACTGACAAATGAACTTAAGTCTCTTAGAAGGATCATTCTTGAAGAAGACAAAGCTGAGAAGGTTCTGACAAGGGTTCTGCCTGTCTCTTAGGAAAGCAAAATTACTGCAATTCAGGAATCAAAGAACGTTGCAACTCTTTAAGTTGGATGAGCTGATTGGAAATCTTACTGCTTATGAACTTAGAAGGCAAACTATGAAGATGGATGTATCCAAGAAGAAAAGGAGCCTGGCACTCAGAATCACTAAATGTGCTGATCTAGAAGAAGATGAGATGGCTATGATCACAAAGGACTTTAAGAAATACTTAATAAGAGGAAAGGGTTCCTCAAGAAATGGAAACTACAGCAAACCAAGGGTTCCTGAAAAATAGACCAATGAGGGTTGCTACAAGTGTGGGAAGACTGATCATCACATCAAGAACTATCCTCAATGGGAAATAGAATGGAAGAAGGAAAGAGCTGAACGAAGAAACAGGAAGAAGGAACAGGTTCATCCCAAGAAAAACAAAGGATCAATAAAGGCTATGGTTGCTGCTTGGGGTGAAAGTTCAGATGAGGACTCAGCTGATGATGATGGAGATGAACAAGCACTTATGGCAATTGGAGAATTCGATGAGGAACCGCATGAGGAATCTGAGGTAAGTATTATTCATCTAAAAGACAAGATTAAATTTTTGTCTAAAGAAAAACTTTCTGAGTTACTCCTAGCTTTCATTGATGAATCTGAGGAAATAAATAAAGAAAAGGAACAGGTGTCTAAGGATTGTGGGATTTTAAAAGCAAAGTGTAAGAACCTGGAACTCAGAGTCAGTGAGACTGTAAGTGAGAATACTGCACCGAAGAACCAGGTTAATACATTTGAAGCAAATGTCCTAGAATTAAAATCTGAACAAGTAAGAAGATAACTGATTGCACACAACTCACTCTGATGGAAACCATAGGTAAACTGAAAGGTGAGCTGTATAAGAAGGATGAGCAGGTAAGACTCTTGAAGGAGGATCTAAGCAAAGTCAAGCATGAACTAGACAGAACCTGTACATGGAACAGGTCCTCCGATGCTTTGTCATGGCTACAGGAACATCATAGTAGCAATAAAAGAGGACTTGGTTTAGGGAATCAGCAACCTAAGTGGAATCCGAAAAGCAAGTACCTCACTCTTCCTCAGAACAAGATTTGTACTCACTTTGGTAAGACCGGTCACTATAAAAGTGAATGTAATACAAAAGAAAAGACCAGCCAAAGGAACAAAAATTTTGTTCAAGGGAAGAATTGGCTACCAAGTTGGGCTAAAAAGAATTTAATTCATCCTTTTGCTTATAGAAAGGGACCCAAACTAGTTTGGGTTCCTAAGACTAACCCCTGATTTTCTTTTGCAGGTCAAAGTGAAGGGGAGCAGTCAAATATGGTACATGGATAGTGACTGCTCAAAGCACATGACAGGAAGCAAGGACCAGTTCCTTTCACTTGAGGACCTCAAAGGAGGTAATGTCTCCTTTGGAAACGGGAAGAAAGGTGAGATCATTGGGATTGGTAAGTTAGGTAAGAACGACTCTCATAGACTTGCACATGCAAGTTTGAGTCAACTCAACAAATAAGTCTCCAAGGACTTGGTGATACGACTGCCTAACATTAAGTTCAAGGAAGACAAAGTTTGTGAGGCTTGTGCAAGGGGGAAGCAGGTAAGATCCTCTTTTAAATGCAAGAAAGTGGTAAGTACCACCAGAACGATGGAACTGGTTCATATAGATCTCTGTGGTCCAATGAGAACATTAAGTAGATGTGGTAAAAGATATGTGATGGT